AGAAAAAAAGTAAATGTAACAACCATTTGGTTGGAAGCTTATAATTTATTGGCCCCATTCAATTTTGGGACCTACGATGTCCAAAGTCGTGCATAATGAATAGAAACCGTACGTGCCGGGTCAAATTTGGGGATGGAATTGTGGTTATAATGTTAGCATCACTTTTTATCGCCCTAGTACAATGAATATGATCATGTCATTCCAAAATTTATTACCGAAACCTTAAGTCTCTAAATATCGTTGGATAAGAAATTTTGCAATGAGGAGTTTTTTTGAACACTTCTCCCAAAAATATGTGGTTCTATTGTTTATTTGCCACGAAAATTACAGGTTCGTAAAGTTTGGTACGTTTATTTTGTCAGCCGGCATGATATTAGTCTTTTTCACCATTTAAAAATTGCCATCAAACCAAATTTCTAAGAAAAATCTCATTTTAAGATGATGTTGATGTGACTGAATTCAGTTGGACTGGATGATGTTTGGAGTGAGTAAAACAAGCTTCACCTTGGCCAGAAGAAGAAGAAAACGAGTTTCAAGAATAAGAAATGGAGGGTCTGATAATTTCTTATCTTAATATATTAGCTACTTATTCACGTAGAACTGGCGAACAAAAAATTCCTTGCTAATTTTGTCCTATAGATTATAAAATATTTTATCTATTTTATCCCTTTTCATTTAAAATATTTTAATTTATAAATGTTTCAAAATAAATACTAATTTATATAAATATGTATAATTGCGATTATTTTTATAAACTATTTAAGTGTCATTTCTATTTAAAATATTAGCGCCGTATTTTTATACTGCGATAATGTCCATAATTTTGAAAAACTCAAGTTCGGTGTTTTAATGACTGCTATATATTTAATTATTTATGACATTTTGGCATTTTGACTTATTTCGACTTATTTCTTTATTGTTTCATACCAAACTTTCAACGTTAAAAATAAAAAATAAAGCACAGTTTCTTCCTACATACCAAATAAATTTTCTAATCCAAAAATATCTTCTTCTTCTTATTCTTTTTTTTTTGTTTATATTTTATTGAAGAATATATTGGGAAGACTTAAAATTTTGACTTTCACCTATACCTTACTATCTGTATTAATTAGGGAATAATAAGGAGAAAAAAAAAGAGGCACAAAGCTTATTGCAAGGCATACGCTCATATTATTTCTTCCCCATTCATTTTACTTGTTTTTTTTAATGTCCATCGTGCATGTTAGAATTAAACCTTATTTGATTTCAATCCGCTATTATTAAAATGTTTTGATGGTCACAAATAATTTTAACTTATTTCATTCAGATTTATCAACTGAAAAGAAGTCATTGTAAATAATTACAAGAGATCAAGTTTCAACGGTGAGATTAAAAGAATATAAGAAGCAAGAACAAGAAGAAGAATGTTGGCAAGAGAAAAAAAGAGCATGAAGAAGAATACAAGAAGAAGACGACTTGGAAGAAATATGCATTGTGCGATGAAGTTGGCATTTTGAGAATTTTTGAGTTTATCGAATTCCCTTTCTAGCTGAAAAGTAGTCTGAGAAAGTTTTAGTTAAGTTAGATATTTATGAATATTAAAAAAATTAATTAAATTAGTTATTTGTAGTAAATAAGTACCGTCTCTTCTAAAATATTCTTATTAATAATATGTATTGAAACAATTAATTATTCCAATCAATATAGAGATTACCTGGGGGTAAAATAAATAAATATATGATATAAAGTGGATTAGAGTATTATATTTAAAATAAAATCGAATCTTCAACTAGCTCTCATATTAAGAACTAGAAGTAGTATTTACATAAACAGACCTCAATACATATTATAAGTGAACAATAATAAATAATTACAAAAAAGGATATCTCGATTTCTATCTTTTTCGTGGTTCTCATCCTCCATTCCATCGTTTTCGTTCGTCTTCATCAAGGGCACTGCACATGCAAGGTTTGTGAATGCATTTTCGCCTCTTGTTTGTTAGAATTGTGACCGTGCATGAAAGAAACGTAGGTCAAAGAGAAACTCTCAATAAAATGACAACATAAATATATATATATATATATATATATATATAATTAGCATCAAGGCATGCACCAACAACCTGTGGTAACTAGATGTACGATTAAAATATCCCACAAGCGAAGGGAATGAATAGATTTGTACACCATTACTTCTGAGGTTCCAGGGAGAGAGATTTTTTTTTTAATATAAGTTATTTAGTATGTTATTCATGATTTATTGTTTTGTGAGATGTTATTTTCCTAGAAAAAATATATATATTTTGCGTGTAGTATTGTGATTCACAAGATATGATTAGACATTAACAACTTGAGTTTAGAAATCAACAAGTTTGATTCACTACCCAAAAAAGACTTTCAACGGAAAGTGTCTCCGGAGAAAAGCCAGATGCCATGTCCTCACCAAAAGTCTCATTTTGAGTGGCAACTTACTTGTCACTATTAAAGACTTTGAATGGCAACTTACTTGCCGTCGCTGAAGGATATACTTTCAGCTACGATTTTCTAGAGCCCGTTAAAAGTCACGACTAAAAATCTTATTTGTTATAGTGATTTAAAATTCATAAGTTCCCATTAGCTATTTATGACAAGACTTTTGTAAAAAAGTCGCACCATTAAATAAATCTCTGTTGTTGTTCAGCCATAAGACATGGATATATGAAAGGGAGAATTAAAATCAAATCCTAAGAAAGAGAAATATTTATTAAAAGATCCTAATAACAATTTAAATAGGTTGTAATGACAAGTTTTAGAGTGAAAAATAATAATTTTTAGAACTTGTTTTGTAATTTTTTTTCTTTCTTGAAATCTTATTATAATTCTCCCTCTATAAAATTGAAAAGTTCAATTTAACAATTCACAAGTCTCCATTAGTTATTCACAACAATTTTTCCCCCCACAAAGTCACTGCCAATACCGACGTTAGAGTAGCTTCGGCCAATGAGGGGGCTAGCTTTTTTTTTTTTTTAAAAAAAAAGTGATACAAAATGTTTTAAAAACACATTACTCAAATCCCAAATCTGTTCTCCTGGTACAATTGGAGATTTGTTGAATTTGATAGACTAATTTGAGATTTGAGCATTTTGGTTGGATTTAGATGAGATTTCCCCTTACATAAAGAAATTAAGGAAGTGAGATATATTAATTTGGCTTATGAATGACTGTGCTTTTTAATAATATAATTTTCTCGCTTATAATGGAAATATACGTACTGAATGGGAATCTCCAATGCATCATCATATCGGAGGGAAATATTGTTTGGAATTTTTGACTAAAACACGTTTATTCGTACAATGAACATGATATATGATACGTGAAATTATGTGGCTGTCAAAAGTCAAGATGCTGATTTTTTAGGGCCGCATATTCTTTTGATCTTTTCTCAGTTTGGAATTATTCTCTAACAGAAAAAAAATGATTTTGACATCATCGCTTGTTGAGAAGTGAGAGCCGGATGGAATGGGGGGAGAGAACAAATAATGGACCACGAAGAGTGAAAAGGACCACTCTTAATTCAAAATCATAAACTTAAATTGAGAGAGAATGACAATTAGGTCTTATAAAAAAGAATTTAATTACCCTAAAGTCTATTGATATCTGAAAAGCACGTAATGATAAGTTCCTGAATAAGGAATGACAGCAAGTTCATACTGGTCACTTGTTATTAAGATTTGTTGGTAAGTAAATTTCTTTCTTGGAACTTCTTTAAATTAATGGATCTTTCCAATTTATACACACACACATATTCAATGTGGAACTATTTACATCAACTCGAGTCTACCCATACTTAGATATCCTAACATGTACATATTGATTAAAACGAGTTTATTGATTAAAACGAGCTTAGACTAAGAGCCCGAGTTCCACTTTGGGGGAACATTTGAACCACGAATGATTTCGGAATAAATATAGTTGTGTTAACAAGCATGGAAATTAAGTATAAAAAAAACAAGTATGGAAATTATCCATCATTATATCAGGCCAAAAATTTTAAGTTAAATGGTGACATAGAAGCTATTGATTTGATTATTATATATTCCTTTAGTCTTATTTACACGGTAGAGAGAGAAGATATTTTTGTCCTATTTATAGGACATTAAGAGAATTTTTTTTGTATGAATGTATAATTTTACCCCTCATTAATATTGGTCTTATTTATTAATGTATTGACTTTATTTACATCAGATATAATATATATTAAATATGGATAGTGTTGAAAAGTTGTTAAATTTTAAATGAGAATTAATGAAATTTAAGATTTTTCTTAATCTGTATAAAATATGCTAAAAATAGAATCATGCGACCATATATTAAGAGACAAAAATTGTATGAATCCTTATTTTAACCGCGGCAATGTATAGGAAAGTTAATGAATATACGATTCCATTGGACAGTCAGCTCACGTCGTATTGATATAATTGTTTTTTTTTTTTTTGGGATTTTTGGACACTCCTTTAAAGCTGTAAAAAGTTAGTACCTAGATAATCAATTGTCTTTGGCCAAAAAAAAAAAAAGATAATCAATTGTCAGCTTCCTTGCACTGTTACAATATGATACTACCTCCAATCTTTAATAAAAGTTAGATAACTAATTTATAAATATTAAAAAATTAATTAAATTAGTTATTTATAATAAATAGATATTGTCTTTTCTAAAATACTTATATCAATTATATGCGTTGAAACAACCAATTGATAAGATTTTTTAACATGTGCAATCATTATAGGGATTACTTGAGAGTGAAATGGATAAATATTAGAGATAAAGTGGATTAAGTTATTATATTTAGGACCAATTACAAATTAAATCTCCAACTAGCTTTCATATTAAATGCGTGGTATAATGGAAACACAAGATTATTGGCAGGACCACGTGTATGAAAGGAAAACTCTGAAACACGTGTTTATAATGTAGCTAGGGCACACAAACATTCTATTAAATACTACCTCTTCAAAGCCATAAATCAGCTTAAGCCAAATTCAACTAAACTACTCCCCTTGCTCTCCCCCCTCTCCCTTTCTTATTATTCTCTCTCTATAGTTTCCAACAATGGCTTCCCTTCATTATCCTCCATTTCCATCTGGGCTAGAGATTGAAACGACGACGTTAGATGTAAAAGAAGCATCAAGTTGTCCAACAAAGACGAAGAAGAAGAAGGATGATATTGATGGAGGAGAGGAGAAGGGGATATGGCTGACGTGGAAGGATGTGTGGGTGACAGCTTCTTCAAGTGGGAAGAAGAAGAAAGGGGTTAATGGAAGCAGAAAAATACTGGAAGGTCTCACTGGTTATGCAAAACCAGGACAGCTTTTGGCCATTATGGGTCCTTCGGGTTGTGGCAAGTCTACTCTTCTTGATACTTTAGCAGGTAATAATTAATTTTCTTTCACTTTCTACATGCTTTTTTGCTCGTATATAGGATGATACTCCCACCTGTATTAAATATAAGAACTAGTTAAAAAGTAAGTTTTTACTATAAATGTAAAACTTTGACTCAATTTGTCTCTCAGATTTATTATTTTCCTCCCAAACCACCTCCATTGATTACATACACTAATGGCTACAATCAATGAGGACAGTTTTCACATGGGGATAGTTTAAAAAAATCAACATTTTTTTTTGTAAATAATAAACTTAGCCAATTTTCTTCATCTATGTAAATCATTTAGATATATAGGATTGGCTGGAGTATATCGATATACTGATATAGTTCACGTAGTAAGTTGGATTTCATGCATATATCCCAATTCTGTCAAAATGATTTGTTGCCTTAAGTGAAATGATGACTAATGCTATCAAAATGATCTTCTGTATTGTCTGTTTTGATGTGTATCACATCCATTATGCATACTAAACAATGAATGAAGATAGCTAGTGAAAATTTTCTTGTCTACAGAGTTAAAGGCATCTTGGATGAATAAAATTTCTTTATAATGCACAAAAAGATTAGTAGAACTACGTATTCTTACGCACGCACACACAAATATATATATATATATATATATATTCTTAAGTATATCATTATGGGTACAAATTTGGCTAAAAAATTATGTTTGGGACAAATATCACTTTAAATTATTATGGATTTCCACTTGCAATTATTGTAGTACTTGAAGACGTTAGACGCGTGGCTCACAGAAGACCCATGAAACCATATTTTCCACAAACCGGCCTCTATTATTGCATAGCATTGAAAGCTACAACTGCATATAAACATCTCATTAAATATGTGACCGTTATTGTCTGGTCCAAAGTATTTCATTCCTTTTAAATTATAAAGTATTTTTCGTCAAATAATATGTTTAAAAATATATATGGCATTTTTTGGTTTTTAAGCTGTAAATATAAAAATTTAAGGATCAACCGTTAATTAATTACTAATTGAGACACCCTATTAAATCAGGATATATACATAAAAAAAGAATGTATTTTTAATGACATTAACTAATTTATTGATTGGGTGTAATTTAGTTAAAAATGCTTTATGATTTTAAACCAAGGAGTACCTATCATACTTGGTTGTAAATATCGCTTTCAGATGTTATGGATGCGTCTACAGCTTGGAGACATCTGTGCGGTTCATAAAAGACCCCTACAAGTCTAAAACCATAATTTCTACGAACCCTCCTTTATCGTTTCATAATATTGAAAGCTGCAACTATCATATAGAAACTGATTAGATATATATGACTGTTGTTTCCTAGTAGTCAAAACTGCCCCCAAAGTAGATAATAAACGGGAAACTTCCGTTAGGGCTCGTTTCACACTGTAAATTAATTTGATCAACTAGGTGGGTTAGTTGAATAGAAAACAAGATAATTATACTCTCTGGGTCAATAATTATACTATTCTGGTTCTAAATACAAGACTTACTTAAGTAATTTGATTAAGTTAAAAAAATTAGTTAAGTTTGTTATTTATAACAAATATGGGTTGATCTCCCTAAAGTATCTTTTTAAATCATGACTGTCCTTGGATGAAAACTCTCTTAACATGTATAATCAATAGGAATACTTTAGATAATGAATTATAAATTTGAGAGACAAAATAGATTGAAAAGATCTCATATTTATAATCAAATTCAATATCCAAAAAACTCTTATATTAAGAATCAGGGTAGTATCCCACTATAAAGTTAGAAACGTAATTAGGATAATATTTTTCTTCTCATATCATTTAATTGAAGTTTAGAAAAAATGATGGCATTCAAATAAGGGCGAAAATAATTTTAAAAAAATTTACACGTCAACTAAATTTCATTTTCCCCCAATTTCCATTGTATCTAAATTTAGATAAAGTAGGTTTTATAATGAGTAATCGTGGGAGTATAATACATACAATACATTTTTTAATAAAATGATGAATAGAGAGAATTCAAATCGGAATTTGCTAGGGAGAAAGATTTTGATATATTTTTTCTTTTCTTAAGATGTGTTTGACCAAAACTTTCAAATGAATTATGATTACAGGGAGATTGGGTTCAAACACAAGGCAAGCAGGGGAAATTCTTATTAATGGCCACAAACAAGCACTTGCTTATGGCACCTCGGTACGTAGATTTTTTTCATCCATTAAGAAGAAATTGTTTCTTCCTCGCAGATATAATGTTTAATTTTCTACATGTTTTAATTTGTTATTCCCCCAGTCCTTAATGTAAAATCTAATTTGAGGGTTGATGTTAGTCCTATATACAAGACAATTTTTTTTCAAATTAGTCATATTGATATTTTCTCAACAATAATCAAATAGAAGAAGAAGAGAGAAAATTAAAGGTCAGATGGGTACTTTTTATTACGTGGTCACATTCTATGGGAAACTTTAAGAGAGACAATTGATGGAATGTTACGATAATGAATAATTTTATTATCAAGCATGTGCTTAATTTAATATGTGTGTGCGTGTTTAAAATTTCAAAATGTTTCTACTTACCTCCACTCGTTTTTATTACAAGACATCTTTTTAAGAAAATTGGTGTGCACTATGCATGCAACCAAATAGTCAGAGGTTCGACTTGGTAGAGAAGAAGAAAATTGGTTGTTTCTGTTATAAATTGCTAAATGGTATTAATTATATTGATTTAAGATTAACCCTTATTTAATATTTAAAAGTTTGATTGTTTTTTTAATGTAATTCATGGTATTAAATATGGATGCATTTAAAAGTTTGCCAGGTTAATGACTTAACCAAATAAGGATGGGAGGGAATATTTTACATAGAGAGAGAGAGAGAGAGAGAGAGAGAGAGTACCGAGAATATTCAAGAAATTAAAAAAAACGACATCTATCGATTAAAAAAAAAAAAAGCCACAAGATAACTAGATCTCAAAATTTTCTTTATCTCCCTTCTTAGAGTTGACTGGACGACTGCAGAAGACACATGTCCAGTTAAATAAGAATTTAGTAAAAAAAGATCATGTTAAATAACATACTCTTCATCACAGGAAAACTAGCCACTTTCTGATGAATTTTAGGGTAAGTAGGCGAAAATAGTAAAGCAAATAGTCAGTGTCAATAACCCTAAAAGATTCAAAAAATGATGCACTTCTACATTGTTTCTTTCAGGCGTATGTGACCCAAGATGATACTTTGCTCACAACCCTAACAGTTGGAGAAGCAGTGTACTATTCAGCTGAGCTTCAATTACCAGACACAATGTCCAAGGAAGAGAAAAAGGAGAGGGCAGAGTTCACAATAAGAGAAATGGGTCTGCAAGATGCCATTAACACCAGAATCGGCGGATGGGGTTGTAAGGGAATAAGTGGAGGCCAAAAGAGGAGAGTGAGTATTTGCATAGAGATCCTGACACGTCCAAGACTTTTGTTTCTTGATGAACCAACCAGTGGACTTGACAGTGCAGCCTCGTACTACGTCATGAGCAGAATCGCCAGCCTTGATCGAAAGGATGGGATCCAGAGGACCATTATTGCATCCATTCATCAACCTAGTACTGAAGTGTTTCAGCTTTTTGATAATCTGTGTCTTCTTTCTTATGGAAGAACTGTGTTCTTTGGTCCTGTTTCTGCAGCAAGTGAGGTTAGGGTTTGGATCCACATGGCTTTGTTCTGATCTCATGTTTCAATTATAGACTAATGTACGCTGTTATATGTTGTAGTTCTTTGCTTCAAATGGGTTTCCTTGTCCTGCTCTCCAGAATCCATCCGATCATTTCTTGAAAACTATAAATAATGATTTTGATGATCAGGTCTGCTTCATGCACTATATAGAGTTAAACATTGTATTAGCCACTGTGTAGCTAAACTCAGACATCAATTGATTGAGATTCTCATTGGTTTAGCAGGACATTGAACTGGGCTTCGTTGGAACTCAAAGAAAAACTACAGAAGAAGCAATAGAAATGCTTGTGAAATCATACAAGTCTTCTAATTTGAACCAACAAGTTGAAGCAGAAGTAGCAGCGCTATCTCCACAGGTATATATGTCAGATCCATACTTCATCCTTATCAAGAGCATAAATTTTATAGGAACTATACATACATATATATATAAATATATATCAAATGAAGAAGCTAAGATAATGAACTATGTATAACCAATATACATGTAACTATAATGCAATTGTGCGTTTCAGGAAACTGGAATGGTGGAGAAGAAGAAGGAGAAAAGAGGGCATGCAAGCTTCCATACTCAGTGCATTGTTCTTACAAAGAGATCATTTGTGAACATGCGTCGTGATGTAGGCTATTACTGGCTACGCCTTGTCATATACGTCGCCGTGGCGCTAGGTCTGGCCACTGTGTTCTATGATTTGGGCACGAGCAAAAGGTCGTCTATTCAAGTAAGAAAGAATAACATATTATTGGAGCGTGCTTTGAGACTTCGTGACATTCTTAATTGCAAGCAGGTGATCCACTTTACAATACTAATTAACAATTTTGTCTGCATTTGTTTATCCTTGTTTCAGGATAGAGTTTCACTTCTTGCGTTTGTGTCTTCCTTCATAACTTTCATGACCATTGGTGGATTCCCTTCATTTGTAGAAGATATGAAGGTATATATCCTCCTTCATTGAAATGATCCATATACGAGCCTTAAGGTTTTAAGTTAAAATATTTTACTGACAAGTCCTTCAATTTTACTGATATAGGTATTTCAAAGAGAAAGGCTAAATGGGCACTATGGAGTGACAGCCTATGTGATAGGAAACACATTATCTTCAATCCCATACCTAGTGCTCGTGACTCTCATTCCTGGGGCCATAGCCTATTACCTCCCAGGCCTTCAAAATTCTGCTGAACACTTCATGTTCTTCTGCAGTGTCCTATTTTCATGTCTGATGTTAGTTGAAAGCCTGATGATGATAGTGGCTAGCATCGTCCCTAACTTCCTCATGGGAATCATAACCGGTGCTGGTCTTCAAGGCATCATGATCCTCGCAGGAGGCTTCTTCAGATTGCCCAATGATCTTCCCAGAATCTTCTGGAAGTATCCTCTCTTCTATGTCGCCTTCCATAGATACGCTTACCAAGGACTGTTCAAGAACGAGTTTGAAGGACTCAGATTTGATAATCATTCTGGGGAAGAGATTCTGAGAAACGAATTGCAAGTCAACATGAGCTATTCCAAGTGGGTTGACCTTGCCGTTCTTCTGGGGATGATCGTTGTGTATAGAGTTGTGTTCTTGATAATCATAAAGGGCACTGAGAAGATGAAGCCTGTAGTTGCTTCTTTGCTTTCTGGAACTCCTAAGAGAAGCATTCAGGTCATGGCTAATCCAAATGCTACACCTTTACAGAAGGCTTTGCATAAATTAAATCCAATGAGTTATTAGAATGAGGTCAATGCGTATGCCTCCGATCAATGTACTGGACTCTACTTAAAATATTACTCCCTTTGTCACTTATTATAGAATCTAATTTTTTGAATAGGTTTGTCTCTTTTTATAAGATCCCTTTTGAGTTTATCTGAACATTTAATGCATTATTACCTATTTTACCCTTAGTTTAATGCATTTTCTTTCTTCATTTATCTCACTATTATTCTCTCACATCTACCCATTTATATATAGGGGTATATTTGGAAAAAAATTACATTTGCTACATATTAATTGCTTTTAACTAATTTTAACTGTCTTCTTAAACTGTACAATTTAATTAAAAGGATCTTATAATAAAAGACGAAGTAGTAGTATGTAATTAGTACTCCCTCTACTTCTGTTACTTTCTTTTAATTCATATGCATTAATAAATATAGTTGAAACCATTAAATTTGTCATAAAATTCAAGTAATATTTAATAGGGTTAAGTTGCAAAAATACTTATTAGCTTTTGTCAAAAGGGCGCATAACACCTTATACTTTTCTAAGGTACAAATCTAACAATACAAGTTTAAAATAGGTGCAAAAATATCAAGACCGTTAAAACAAGCTAACAACCGTTTATTTGAATGGTGGGCCGACAATATTTTTATGAAAGCACAATAATACCCCAGCTAAAAAAAACCTCTCATTTCATCTCCAACCTCTGGTTCACTTGCCAGAATCTCGTCTCCAACATCTCTAATCTCAGAGCAACTATGCCTCATTCTGATTGAGATCTGAGATGGCGGAATGACGATGATGACGGTGAGGTCTGAGAAGGTAGAATGCCGATGACGACGGTGAGGTCTGAGACAGTAGAATGTCGATGACAAGGCGAGGTCGGAGACGACAGAACACTGACGACAATGGCGAGGTCTGAGACGGCAGAATACCGTAGGTGATGATAGCGAGATCTGAGATGATAGAATGCGGGCTACGACGGTGAGATCAAGACGGCAGAACCATGGCATAACTACCTCTGTTGCATCCCAATAGTGTAGTTGTTACCTCCATGTGCCAACTCTTTCTCTTCCTTCTCTTTGGAGATACAATTACCACCTTCTCCTTCTCCTCCTTCCCTCGATCAATGAATTATTTTGGATTGGGTTCAAGTAATTTTTTTTTTTTTATATCAAAGGTTGAATCTTTAATGGTGAAGGGTTTAACTAGAGGTTGAGTTCACGAAATGGGCTGGAGAAACATTGTTGTTTTGTTGATTCCCATGTCATTTCTATCTCTTTATTTCTCCTAGTGAACTTTGTACTTCACTTGTTCTTTCGCCCTTCTCACGGCTAAGAGTGGTGCAGCTCACTTTTTGAAGATCCTTCGTGTGTCTATGCTTTATCTTCGTATGTGGAATCTCAATTGATAACCCATTTATGAGTTTTGAAGGGTCATTGTACCCGTTTCAATCATTATTTCCTTTCCGGGTGTGGTTTCTAGGTGTCCAAAGTTAGATGAATTCGAGAGGTTGGGGAAGGAGAGGGTGCAGGGGATTCCCTTTTTTTTTTTTTTTTAATTGAGGGCATTCTAGTCCTTTCATAAAAATTATGTGGACCCTACCATCAAAATAAACAGCCGTTAGGTTGTTTTGACGGAGTTGATATTTTTGCACCTATTGTGAACTTGCATTAATAGATTTGTACCTAAGAAATGTATACAGTATTAGACGTATTTTTGAGAAAAATTGGTGAGTATTTTTGTACTTTAACCCTATGTTAATTTTTACTGTCTCTCACAGCCCTTATTAACTATGGTTATATACAAAAAAAAATTTAATACTCCTTGAAATTATATTAAATGCCTCATAAAAAGTATCAATAACACCTTTCAAAAGCAGCAGACAGGGGGAGTATAATTTATACATCTATTACGTAATATTATTATTTAGACTAAGGCAATCAAACTCATGAATTTAAACAGACTAAAGATAAGAGCGTAAACTCGGATTATGGAGTTAAATATTAAATTTTTAAGAGTTTAATTTTATTAATGAATGGTTACTAAAGATATATAATTAAATAATTATAATATAAAAATGACAACAACAATTTCATTTAAATATATTTCAAATTCAGATCAATGAAATTAAATCCATCAATAATATTCATAATTTATCTTAATATAGAAATTTTTATCAGATTTAAAGGTTATTGTGTTATTAGTTTTTGCCGTTTGGTTTTATTTTTTGTAAAATACTTATATCAAATTTTTTATATCTAGTATGTTGAATTCTCAAATTACACATACTAGATATAAACTACATTTAAAAAATTTTCTTCGAATTTTGAGCAATATATAGTTAAAAGAGGCAAACACTTGATGTGTTAAAAAAAGGAGAAAGACTTTAAAAAAATTAAGCACTATATTTATGGACAAAAAGGTACTCCCTTTGTCCCTTATTATAATATATTTCTAATTAAATTACACGGTTTAAAAAAATAATTAAAATTAGTTAAAAACAATTAATATGTAACAAATAGAGTTTTATTTCTAAATATATCTCTATATATAAGTAGGTAAATGTGAGAAAGTAATAATCAGATAAATGAAGAAAGAGAATGTCTTAAATACATTAAATTAGGGATAAAATAGTTAATAATGTATTAAATACTTAGACAAACTCAAAGAAGATATTGTAAAAAGGGATAAACTCATTTAAAAAAATAGATCTTATAATAAGAGACGGAATAGTATATTGTTTCAGGTTGCACTTTGGGTGAATAGATAAGGACATCGATTTACCTTCTCTTCTCTACTCTTCCCATTCACTTCCTCTTCACTACCCATCTGGCCATCTCTCCGTTCTTAGATTAAAGCTCTAGTGGTCCAAATTTTTTTAATGTACTAATAAAATGTCAAATTATTAAAAACTAAATAAATAAATTCAAAATTGCTAAACTTTACTCATAAAGATTTAAAATTACAATAAAAAATATTTTAAAATAGTTTTAAAAAACATTTAATCTATACCATTAAAATTTCGATTTGAGGTGGAGAGATCGGTAGGAGAGAAGCCAAGTCAGATACGGAGACCCCTTTTTTCCATGGCAAGAGAACACACTAACAATTTAAGGTTATTTATAGAAGAATTTTTTTGTCATTAAGTCACAAAAGAGTTGGCTTGATATTGGAGAGCTGAATTGAGAAAGGCAATTTTTCTGTTATTTTTTTTTTATTTTCAAGATTTATTACTAATAATTATACAGATGTCTTTTATTTTGCACATACCTAAAAATAGGTTACACATAATTAAAGATAAGTTGCACTGAAGTACTTAAATAAATTTCAGGTTCTTGCAATAAAGTTTACAATAAGGGATTTTTCAAAAACTTTCCTATAAAAATTTGCGAAAAGTGCTATTGATTGAATTTTTCAGTAAATTTAATAAAATATCTATATTATTTTATTAATAATTTAATAATATTTATAAAATATTTCACAAAAAGCGGCTCCTCGATTTTCAATTGAATAAGCTAAACTGGTTACATTGGTTCTTTCTTTCTTTTTTAAAATCACCGTAGTCAGTGAAAGAAATCATAAGTTTCCGTTACTCTAATAACCCATTATTTTTTAGATCCACACAAACAAAAGAAATCTCATCTTGATCAGCAGAAGGGAATATGATTTGATTTGGACATGATTGAAGAACTTGACTAAAACGGCTCGTGATCTTACAGTAATTGGCTTTTCTACTTTTTTCCTTTAGAAAAACGATATTTAAATTTTAAAAAATTAATTTAAACAATTATAAATGTAAAAACGGAAAGATGACAAAAAAAAATTACCTTTTCAAAAATACTAAATGATAAATGAAGAGGCTAAATTTCAAAATATTAAATCAAGCTACGATATTATTTTTAAATTTTCAAATGTTGAGAAATGATACCAATATCCGATAATTTTAGTGATTACTTTTATTTTGTTATTTACTATTTTAGTTTTGATATTGACTATTTTTTATTTCTGAGCTCCGGTGGTTACAAGTGTTTAGTTATTTATTATTCTAGTTTTACTAATGACTACTTTTGTTCTTCAAAAGTAATACTGAGGCTCCTAATACATTTTTCAAAATTTTGAAATACAAGTAATAAGTAGAGAAATTAGAGTGGTAAATAACTAAGAGTAATAATTAAATCTTCATTAGCTGCTAATATGCTTTTTTTAATTTTTAAAATAAAAGTAACCAATAACAAAACTAAAGTAGTTACTAGATCTTTAAAAACAAAAGTAGTCAGTATTGAAACTGGAGTAGTTAATAACTAAATAAGAATAATTACTTAAACTCTAAAAATAAAAGTAGTCAATAATAAAAGACAAAGGACATCATTTTGCAACATTTCAAAGTATCAAATTAGTGCAACTGCACCACTTTGGTATTCGAAACTCAGCCTCCATAATTTGGCATTTTGGAAGGCACTTTTTAATCATTTTCCCAACAAAATGTTAATTACAATTTAGATATTAAAAGTGAAGCTAATTTTTTAAGGTCTTCATATTCCTTTGGTCTTTTCACAATTGGGAGCTTTCTCTGGAAGCAAATGTTGGACAAAAACAAATATCTCATTTTCATCCTTGAAGATGATGACCATGTTTGATTGGACTTAGTTATAAGGATTTCATAATTTGATTTAAACAAGATATGTTTTCTGACACATACACACGCAAACACTTATCAAACTCAGTTTTATCTCACATCAGATTCCCCACATCAACTCAAGTCACTACATTTAAAATATATATTGGTTAAAAGGAGTTAGAGTCCAAATTCAACTATAACCACAAATGAACCTGAGATCAAGGGACACATTAGACTTTGAGCTAAGTGGGACCACAAGAGTACGTGATAATTAACTTTTATCACCAAGTATTTAGCACAATTACGTGCGTAGCTAAAGTTTGAATTCAACATATACCCCTGATTAAGTTGACACAACTTTTTTATTAGTTTAGCAGGCTTTTTGATTTGCACTTCTTTTTAGCTAGGAATTGGAATATTATTTTTAATCATGTTAATTTATAGGGAGATAAAAACGAATGTACGAGTTCATTAGCAGAAAATCATCAGCTTAGATATTGTTTTATTTATTTATTTATTTTTAATTTTACCGAGATTCCCTGAAAGCTCTAGAAAGTTAGTAGATAGATGATTAAGCTGTCAACTTCGTTGGACTATTGCAATATAATATAATAATGGAAACATACAAAATTATTACCAAGAAGACCACATGGATACGAAAGGGGAAATCTGAGAAACATGTTTATAATGTTGCTAAACATTCTATAAATACATGTTCTTCAAGGACATAAATTAAATCAGCATAAGCCAAATCCAACTATACTACTTCCTCCCCCTCTCCTTCTCCCTCCCTTATGCTCTCTCCATAGTTTCCAACAATGGCTTCCCTTCATTATCCTCCATGCCCATCTGGGCTAGAGATTGAAACGACGAGGATAGATGAAGAAGAAGCATCAAGCGGTCCGAAGAAGAAGAGTGATGACGTTATTGATGGGGGAGAAGAGAAGGGGATATGGCTGACGTGGAAGGATGTATGGGTGAGAGCTTCTTCAAGTGGGAAGAAGAAGAAGAAGAAGAAGAAGAAAGGGATTAATGGAAGCAGAACAATACTGGCAGGTCTCACTGGTTATGCCAAACCAGGTCAGCTTTTGGCCATCATGGGTCCTTCTGGCTGTGGCAAGTCCACTCTTCTGGATACTTTAGCAGGTGATATTCTTTCATTTACCTTTTGCGTGCATAATTTTATCTCCCTGAAACTAAATGACGAAAACAAAGCCAAAAGATGCCACTCTATTTTTTTTTTTTTGGGTTGAGCCCACGATATCTATCACCGGTAACAGTGATCAATTCCCTCGTACTATCACACACTGATGTGGATCGTACTTCTGACTAAATGCTTAAGAAACTCAACTAAATGCCAAGCATGCTTAACCTCATGATTAGATGGAACTCCAATTTTAAAGGTCGGTTAAATGATAGATAGGGCCATAACATTTACTATGTGAAAATAGAAAGATAGGAGTAAAAATCTTCTTGAAAAATAGAAAGATAGGAGTAAAAATCTTCTTGAAAACAAAGGAGCTCGTACTCATCAAAATGAGAATTACGTGCAATAGTAAGATATCTTCTGCGTATAAGAAAAAAGAGTTATAATTGTTTAAGCACAAAATCTCAAGTTTTGATCTGTATGAGTGCAAAAATATTTTAATTTGATGTCGTCTTTTCCAGAAACTACTGGATTTAAACTCTGAACAATATTATGACTTGAATGACTTATTTTGCAGGGAGATTAGGTCCAAAAACAAGGCAGGCAGGGGAGATTCTTATTAACGGCCACAAACAAGTACTCGCCTATGGGACCTCGGTACATCGACTTTTTTTCATCCATTAATTAAGAAAAATTAGCTTCCTCCTCTCATTTTCTATTTCAATTTCTCTATGTTTTAATTTAATTTGTTACTATTACGCATGAAAACAAAGAAGTTTGATAAATTTTTGAAATTAGCTAAACTTGTAAATTTATTATCTTTAATTCTTGAACTTGGACGTATAAAGTTGTGTTCTCTGATTATTGCATTTTCTTAAAAGTATATGTAAATTTGTAGTCGCTGAGTACTAAATTCTCGAACATTGACTTGTAAATTTGTGTTTTATATGTGTTAGATTCTTTAGTTTCAGTGTATAAAATGGTTTTTGCCAGGGGTACACTATAAAAATTTGCTTTGTGAGACTGTTAAATTCTCTCACTGTCATTATTAAATTTCCTTTGATTGACTTGTAAATTTTTTTAAAGAAAAACTTGTATAAAATTTCATCTCTTAACCCTAAAATCACCAAAGAAGTTGCCGGTGGCAGCACCAACGCCAGAAAAATCACCAATGATGGTGGTGCTTCCATCATCGGCAACAGAACGAAGTAAGGAATGAGAGAATTTTTGTTCATTAAATCATTGAAGGTGCATTTTTTTATCCCAACTTTTTAAATTTTAATTACAAAAGGGCCAAGGATCTTTAAAAAAAATTATAAATTTGTGCTTCTTCTCAATAATTAATTTTTTTAAATTGGTCATTGAGCATAATTTTCACTTTGATTAAATTCATCATTTCATCCTTGGTACGATTATTTCCCCTAAAATTTAGACGTAAATCTCTACATTATAGTAATTAAATCTCAACACTTTCTTTATCTCTGTCTATATCTAACTCTTCTGGAAGATAATTGAACAATGGAGAAGATAATATCTAGTTAAATAACAATAAAAGGTTAGAAAACTGAAAGACATCCTTCTGATGATATCAACTTGTGCTCTGTAAACTTAATAAAACAGTCATACGCTCAGTGACCTAAAAAAACAAAGAAGAAGACTATCAATATAGTTAAAAGCATATTATTACCTCTACTTCTTAATATAAGAGTTAGTTTGATATTCAGGTTGGTTCTAATATCAAACTCCAATTTATTTTGTCTCTCATATTTATTTATTTTTTTTCAAAGTATCTCATGTAGTAGTTGCACATATTAAAACTTCCATCAAATGGTAGTTCTGGTTAATACACATGATTAGTAAGGATATTCTAAAGAAGATAACACTTATTTATTATAAAATCACTAAATTAACAATCTTTTTTAATTTACTCAAATTACTTAACTAACTCTCATATTAAGGACTGAAAGGAGTATCAATTATTATACAACCGGAATTGAATAAAATGAGTGGAGTCGAAATAGATAGAGGAGAGACAAGAGGAAGAATATAAGTGGCAAATTCGACACCACTTTAACACAAAACTAAGTTGAGTTTATAGATCCTTCCACTTATATATTATTAAGTCCAATCTCATTCCGTGTGAAACTTCTCACTTGACGCCAAATTTGCTCATACTTAAATCCTAATATCAATTCTAGAGAAGTTACATGTGAAAGATAGAATATTTAGAGCTAACCCTATAAGATTTAAAATTAATAATCTATTTCTACCTGTTTGTTTCAGGCATATGTGACACAAGATGACGCTTTGCTCACAACCCTAACAGTTGGAGAAGCAGTGTACTATTCAGCTCAGCTTCAATTACCAGACACAATGTCAAAGGAAGAGAAAAAGCAGAGAGCAGAGTTCACAATAAGAGAAATGGGTCTTCAAGACGCCATTAACACCAGAATTGGAGGTTGGGGTTGTAAGGGAATCAGTGGAGGCCAAAAGAGGAGAGTGAGTATTTGTATAGAGATCCTGACACGTCCAAGACTTCTGTTTCTTGATGAACCAACCAGTGGACTTGACAGTGCAGCCTCGTACTATGTTATGAGCAGAATCGCCAGCCTTGATCGGAAGGATGGGATTCAGAGGACCATTATTGCGTCTATTCATCAACCTAGTACTGAAGTGTTTCAGCTTTTTGATAATCTGTGTCTTCTTTCTTCCGGAAGAACTGTGTTCTTTGGTCCTACTATTTCTGCAGCAAGTGAGGTCAGGGTTTAGATCCGCATGTCTTTGTTCTGATCTTATGCTTCAATTATATACTGATGTACGCTGTTATATGTTGTAGTTCTTTGCCTCAAATGGATTTCCCTGTCCTGCTGTCCAGAATCCATCCGATCATTTCTTGAAAACTATAAACAAGGATTTTGATGATCAGGTCTGCTTCATGTTAGCCATTATGCAACTAAACTCAGACATAATTGACTGAGATTCTTACTGGTTTAACAGGACATTGAATTGGGCTCCCTGATCTGAAAGGAAACCTACAGAAGAAGCAATAGAAATGCTTGTGAAATCATACAAGTCTTCTAATTTCAACCGACAAGTTCAAGCAGAAGTAGCAGCATTATCTGCACAGGTATGACGAATCCGTATTCCATCCCTATCAAGAGTACAAATTTTATATGACCTCTATATATAATCACATGAAGAAAATAACCGTGTCTACCTTGATGTATATATGAATAACTGACAATATGTTATCTAAAATGCAAAGAAATAACATCATTCTCAAAAGGATGATGATGAGTAATGTTTAATGCAATTGTGGGTTATAGGAAAGTGGAATGGTGGTGGAGAAGAAGAAGAAGAAAAAGCATGCAAGCGATTCCCTACTCAGTGCATTGTTCTTACAAAGAGATCATTCTTGAACA